GGCCGTTAAATGGCAAAAACTGAGTTTCTTTTGTAAGCACCGCTTAAAAAAGAATTTAACACAGGATAGTGTGGTATCCAGAAATGTATTTATTCTACAATCCTAAGTGACTGCTAAGTGTTCCGGCGTCCGTCTCGCTCGACGGCTATTTCCAGAGTGTCCTTTCCGCGTCGTATCCCAGGTTGCTCCGAAAAACCATTGGAGCCTCCTCGTTCGACTTTCCGGGGAAAGGGCTTAGTTTATGGGACCCTCAGGTACCCGCACGCTTTCTCTTCCTGGGTGACAATGTCCAGGCCACCACTTCGCCGCCGGAATCTCGCATTTCTCACACTTTCATCGACTATAAGTACAAATTCCCAAAAGTAACTCTACATACCATTTCTGTTTCTTTTTTGGAAATATGTAAATTTGTAATGATATACGAGCACACGTGACAAAAGCAATTTACTTCTTTTCCCCGTGTGACTGGAGAAATTTTCTGGAGACACAACCAAGGGAATACTCGAAAATTGTTTGTCATCTGATTCTAACGAGATTGCGATACGCTTCCTTCGTTCTCCTCCTTTCAGTTCTATACGTATAGAACTCGCGAAGATGGAACAGAAAAGCTAACGAGAAGAAGTAGGATGCCCCGTTGTGTAATTAGAGTGATTGAGAGCGATTCGTACAATACACAATGGACAGCTGATTGTAGATCGGTGAATTGGTAACGCGGTTGAAACTGTCGATTGTGCGGAAACGTTGGTTTAAAGTAATGGGAAAGACTCGTCGTTTATCCGTTGCATTGGTTAGCTCTCCGGTTAATTCTCTATTCTTTCGTTCAGATCTGCTAATCTTCGGTACACGTTGCCAACCTATTCTATTCTATTCTCGTGATACCTTTCTGTCGAATAGAGCTTCTTATAGTATTAAGCTTCAGTTTTATTAATATTAATAATTGCTGCTCATTCGTAATTTAATTCTACTGGATGAACACCAATTACATTCAGAAGAACTAAAATTGAGCTTCTTATACTAAGCTTCAGGTTGATTAATACGAACAATTAATTCCACCGAATGATCACTAATCACAATACTTTCAAGATTTACAGCTTCACGTAACAGAGAACCGAAACAGAGCCTCTTACATTAAGCTTCATTCGTATGAATATTAACAATTAGATACATCTCGTTCATAGTTTAATTCCACTGGATGAGCACTAATTACATTCAAGAACCACCCACAATATTTACAGTTTCAAGTAACAGAGAACTGAAGCAAATGTTTCTCGTAACCCGAGAATTGAAACAGCCAGCCGTGAATTATTTATGCTGTTCCACCCTGTACCTTCATTCTAACCAGTCCATGTTTCATCATACACGTTGTCTAGTCCACAAACAGGCGTTCACGCGTAACCATTTCAGCCCCATGTGTAGAGACCGATGTAGAGGTCATTAGTTCCGATGTAAAGTTTGCTGGGAGGCTTGGGGATGATGAATTAGGAGTCCCTTGTTTGCCAAACGAGATGGTCACTTAGCACCTATTGGTCGAACGCACATCCCTAGGTTTTGGTCAAAGTTTGTTAGTTCTGAACCCTTAGGTAGGCCCAAAGGTGGTGTCGATTGCCAAGTGGAATGTTTGCTTCACAGATGTAGGAGTTACATAGTACATGTCTGTGTGTAACTATCTGTGCAAAGGTACCGCATAGATGGAACTGTGAGAGAGGTGGTACTATGCAAGCACGATATCTCTTATTCAAATACAAAATACCAATATTATACCTAGATATATAATATACTAATCTTATCAGCGAGAAACGATCACGATTGCAACAAGACGTTAACGGAATTGTATAATACATCGGTTTATACGGCTGTAGAATGCTGATACTACTTGGAAATGCGGAAATTGGTGCAAGTTACATAGCAATTGCGAGTGGTGTCTTATTGTCCACCGCAATCATGGCATATTTGAGATTATTAATTTGTAACGAGTTTTTTAAACACGTCGAAAGTTTGTAAGGTATTTTAGTAATTCTAATTTAATACGCGACACGAGATGAAAAATTCAAAATTTCGACAGAATTTAAGTATAGAGACTTTCTATTAAAAAGTAGCAAAAAATTTCACATCTGTTCACAAACGAGGTAACGCAGTAATTTCTACAAAATCTGAAGAACATCCGCGATAACCAATAGATAAAACGAAATCTACTTTGCTCTTCTATTTCACCTTACACTGTTTGCTCCAATCTGCAACGTGGAGGAGCAACGAAATAAAAGCATCCACTAAAATTCGCCCCGTTAATTTCGAAGAATCGTCAACGATGCTTAAAACGTTTCGGGGATGGTTCGAGTAAATTCCATGTTCGTCGTTCGAAAATAGCGGCTCATAAACTGGCTTATAGCCGGCACTTATTACAGATAAATGCGCAACACTTCATCTTTCTTTCCAAGCGAGTTTCCTCCTCAGTGTGTGGCGAGTATTCTTCGAGAGATACACAGCTAATAAAATGCCGCGAATGGCCTCGCGGAAGTATCAAAAACTTGCCAACACCACAAGACTCTGGAAAGTTCTCTTTAATTGCCGCGAAATGTAGAGGGTGAACCTATTAACTCGCACACCTGAGCAACTGTTAAATTACACGTTAATTCCGAACCTAAATTGTCACATGCAAAAGTTGCATGATTTTTAGAGGTGCATAACAGTGTACTATACTTTCTTTATTGGTCGAAGCATTTCGAAAGTTCAAAGGTCAACTTCAAAATCCAAAATTTCACATTTCCTTCAAACTTTGTAAAGAAAAATAGATTAAAAAAAAAAAAAATGAAAAATAAAAATGTGGAATTCTGAATTCTCCCTTAAGCTGGTTTCCAGTTCTCCAGTTCCTTTCTTCACCGGTGAACCGACGCGACGCGAGTTTTTATCGCGCACGCCGCGGAGAAATTACGAAAGTAAACGAAGGTGCGTTTGGCCGATAATTTACGACTCTCTCACTCTCTCCACGAGACAGTGAGAAATTCTCAACGTCTGTGTTTGCCGCGGAGTAACTTTCCGGCAATGAAAGATGGCCCTGCTCCCTGAAACTGAAGTGATCACGAGGCGCTTGGGAAATCACGAAAACAATTCACGCTCCTCCGAGTAAAATAGATCGTCTCCGAAGCAACGAACGCTTTGTTCAGCGTTGTCATTGTTGGCGATAAGTTGAAGCGCGGATTGCCAGCGTTCCTGAAAACTGCCGCGGAAGGCGCGGCTTTTACCGTTCGTAAATAAGCGCTTTCAGCGAGCCGCTTCTGTCCAGAAGTCGCTCGTGAAATTCCCGAATAAGCGGCCACGAGGCTTGCTCGAACCTCCCTTTCGACGTTTTTCATTTCGCTTCGTCGATGTTAGTCATGCTTTTCCAGTTTAGAAATACTTTCCGGGGAAGGTGGAAGGGGAAGCTTTCGTTAAAAAAAAAAAAAACTGAGTTGAAACGACGAAGATTACTCTCCGAATTAACGACAATTTCGCTATTTCGAATATTGCGCCGAATATTACGAGGGAAACTTTTTGAAACGTACACGGAAAATACCATGCATTTCCCTGCCTTTCTTTTTCAGATCGATTCAACGAATACTCCCGTACAGGAGTTCTCGTTTTCACGTCAACACGACGTTGCGAAAATACGAATGCTGCTGTTAGATAATAAACGGAGAAGCTCGTAAAAAGGAAAAAAAAATTGAAAGGAAAATCAAATGTCTTTCAACAGTTTGGACAAGTCAATTGTGAAGTCGTCCTCGTTAGAGCTAACGAGGAAGAGAATCGAATATCACTACTGGGTAATGAAAACTGCCAGTTTCTAATCAAAAGCGTTTCAGCAAACTGATAATAAAATAAGAGAATCAAAGTAATCAATTTTTTTAACATTTCGAAGAATTTACACCGATCAAAATCGTGTTCTTTCGAGTCAATATTTAAACTGTATGTGTCCAAAAGAACGAATTACACGTAGGAGACGTAATATTTTAGGGAAATATTCTAGTAGAAGTTAAACGGAGAACAACAGGCGAGCTTTTCGGAAACGTGCTTGTTTCTTCTGGAAATTTCATTGAAATTAAAACGAACACAGCGAGAGAATTGTGTTGCACGTAGAAACACGCCGCACCGTTGCAAAAAACGAGCAGAGAGTATTTACGAAGAAAGGGGAAAGGAAACAGTTTTCCTTCGTAATCCTATTTTGTTGTCAGACGACAAGGGAACCAGGAAATAGCAAAACGGTATCACAGAGAAATCAAAACTTCGAGACCGGCTGTCCTACTGACGAAGAATTGTGAAGCAAAACGAGGATCACGTCAAAGGGACGCAATAAAAGAGATTACATTCGCAATTGCGCATTCCCTTTTTCACGTGGAGAAATGAGAAATACGAGGCCCGTACTCAGACTCTCTGCCAGGATAAACGTTTCAAATTTTCACGTAACATTATTCGGCCAGTCTGCGATTTATAAACGAAGCTCGGCATAGAAACCGGAACAAAAACGTTCGAAAAAGGGAAAATGTGAAAACACGTTGTCTGGCAATCTCGTTTGCTGTTTTTTGGACATTTCAGAAAGTATAAAAAAAAGAGAGAGAGAGAGCAGAAAAATTCACCGGTAAGTTAGTGAAAAGGACTGAAAGATTTTCTAGCGAAATCAAACGATATTTCGAAAAAGGAGAGAGAAAAAAATATTGCCACTGATTACAAGGCTCGCTATACTCCTGGATCAGTTTATACCTTCAGAAGGGCATAAAATAAAACGGAAACTTGATAAAAATCACGAAACACAGCGGTCAACGTGTAGGAAACGACGCCAATATCGACGTTTACATGCCTCGAGTCGATCCAACAGAATCTACGAGGCGTAAAAACGCGATCGGTGGCGATTGCGTTCAAGCGAGAATCTAGATTTCCAACAGAGAGTTGCACGGTAAGTCGTCACGGTGTGCGGATTGGGGCGAATTCTCGGCTACATCGGCGGACGACCGTCGGTGGGGGCCGCCAACATGTCGCAGTCCGGTTCAGGAGGGGTGAACGATAGCCAGGAGCAGAATCAGGTCGGACAAACGATGGAGAATCAACGGACAGCGTGTCAGAACGGTCGAGCAGAGCCTCCTGCCGATAACACCAAACAAGATTTGTCCAACGGCTTTGAAAATCGAACCGTCGAATATGAGAGATTCTCTCAAGACAGGGCTCAACAGAATCAGCAGGCCAGCCAAGAGCAACAACAACAACAACAGCAAACCCAACAGGCTGTTCAATATGCGACCGGAAGAAAGCAATCTATGGTTGGTCTCCCTGAAGATAGACACCCTCTGTCCGGTCAACTTCCACCCCAACAGTACACCCAAGAAAAATCTAGCATCGACAGAACGCAACACGTCTCTCAAACTAGCACACAAACTCTACCGGTCCAAGCACAGCCTCAGTTCATGCCTGATTACGATCAAACCCAGTACACGCAGATACGAAGTCAGTTTGAGGTGAGACCGCAAATATATGCTCAACAAGCTCAATACGCAGAGAGAGCCGGTTATGTGACCAGGGACGTCACGTACAGAGATCCCACGTTGTACCAAGGTGGCGCAGCGAATCCTGTGTTCACTGGCCAAGGTCAGTACGTAACGGTTCAACACGGATCACAGATTCCCTCTCAATCCGCTAGTCCCCAGCCGCCGTATTTTTCAAGCGTTGTCGTCCCCCAACCGCCTAGTTACGCTCAATTCAGCACGCAACCGCAATATCCGTATAGTCAGTATCCTCAAACGGTGATGAACGCGGTACCGTACACTCATCACGCAGGAATTTATCCGGCTCAACAGTTCGGCCAGCAGTCGCCGAATCCGCAGAGATTTTCCCAGGAATTGGGACAGTATCAGACACAACCGATCATACAACCAATTGCTCAGAACGTAGGTCATGGAATCACGATCACAACTACCGAAAGACCGAGTCGTGGACCGAAACCGATGGTTCCACCGCGTGGAAACTCCAAGATCACACACGACACCGGGCACAGAAAGTCTGCCAGCGTGGATGTGCAAGGAATGCAAAAGGCCAAATACGATCCTAATCAGAATCCTCCGCAGGAGCAGATTCATCGTAGCGACGGGGCAATTATTGTACAAGGTACGCAGATAGTGACCGACGCCCCGGACAGAAGATATCTGACGGCTATTAATCAAAATCCTAGAACTCGACAGGACGGTCTGTACGTGGACACGAACGGAGATCCACCGGGACGGGAAAAAATGTGCGAAGCCGTGGCGGCTGATTGCGGGCTGTATGTGACCAGGCCTGAGCACAGGAAATCTATTTCCGTGGACGTTACATCGAGTTTCCAACGTCGAAACGACACGATTACTTTCACGTTTCCCGGCGATACGAATCAAGAATTATTGATGCCGTCTAGGAAGGCCGGAACTATAGTCGAGCCGAAACGAGTCGAAGCCAATCAAGTGTATCCGCCTGATCAAAGGCGATTGGATACGAGCTTAAGAGTATCACCGATGGCTTTTGATACGAGACAGGAAAATAGGAAGAGCATAGGAGCTGATAGAAAACCCGAATGGGGTAACGTGAGCCCTAATCAAAGAGTGGCGATGCCGCAAGAAAACAGACGATCCGATTACTTCGACGAACATAGGAGATCACCTATGACCAATCCCCTATGCCGTTCATGCCGATTCGCGAGGGATCTGCGGATCGGGCTGGACAAAAGAGTCCGTCGTTTGTGAATCAGAATTTCGAGAAAACCAGACAGGAACTGGCGATATGGGCGGAACAAAGACAACGTCAGGAACACGAGAGAAACATAATACAGAGTCAACTGCTCTCTACCAGTCCACGTTCGCGTAATCAATCCGAGGAAAGGAGAGATGCCAGACAGATGCATCAGACGGAGGAACGTAAGGAGGCAAGAATGACGCAGTCCGCCTTTCAACCTATACCGAATATCAGTCAAAGCACAATAATGGAACAACGCCGTCATTTACGACACGTCAGTGCTGATCTAACGAAGCATATGGAATTATCGAGGAAGGAATTCGACGATCAGCCCATTAGTGGTTCCGTAGCTAATCTTGGACCGCCTACTAGTACAGTTCCCTCTCAACGAACTAGCCCTAATATATGTCACCAATATCCAGCCCTTAGCGAAGCAAAATTAGATACTAAGACTGTCCTAACTGTAGTAACAGATTTCAGCGAAGCTAATTTAAACAAGCCGATCGAACAAGTCGATCATATAATTCACAGCCATAGGAAAAGCCACAATATCTCGACTAACCTGTTGACTCACAGCAAGAGCCAAACGGATAATCTCCAAAGTCAACTGGACACGCAAGCCGAAAAATCTGATACTCTACAGGCGCAGCAGCAACAGCTGCAAAACCAACAGAGCCTCGACTTAATTTCAGAGAAACTCAGCCAGTTTGAACGTCAGCAAAGCGATCTACAAGCGAAGATACAGTGTCTACAGAATCAGAATCAGATCCTCGACAAAGTCGCGCAATTTCAACATCAACAGAGCGATCTGCAGGTACGCCTGCAGAGTTTGCAAGCTCAGAATCAGCTTTGCGATAAATTACCAAGATCCACTGATTTCCAACAGCACTCGATCGCTAATGAAATCCACCAGATCCAAGCAAACTCATTGCCTAACCATCAGGAACAGTCGGCTGATAAGAGTTGCTTGTCCCAGAGCCAGCATGCGTCACATAGTCATCATCAAACGTTATTGACCGCTTCCTATTCACAGAACTCTAATCATCAATCCTGCCAATCGTCTGTCTGCGAGAAACTATCGCCTAGGCTTCAACACGATACCAACGACCCGAATTCTATTCAGATACCGAACATGTCACAGATACCATTACAGTGTCTGCCACAATTCGAGCGCGCCGACACGTCGCGTACTTCGTTCTCTCAGTTCCATCGACTTCAATGTCAGCTAGACGGCCACGAGGGGGCTTCAGCACCACCTGGTGTTGCCTCCGTCGTTTCATTCACCGGTACGTTGAAGAAAGTACCGCCGGAAAAACCACCGAGAACGTCGTTGATCGTTCAGTCACCTGAGTCGGAGGTAAGAGCACCAATCATCGAACCAATGTCGATGTTCTGCATGATGTGACGATGTTATACAGGGTGTTGATGAATTCTACATGAAAAAATAAGTGCCCATGCACTTTACTCGGAAATGAAGCTTCGTATTACTCCACATTTTCCACTTATTTTTTCATGTACCATCAGTTCAGAGACACCCTACGTATATGCAACTTGTACTATAATTTTGCACGTTTAAATATCATTTTATTGTTGCCTAAATCATATTTTAGATGTACATTAAACTTTCTCCAGAAACAATCTTGAATTTGCACAATAAGGCTCAGAATTCCATTCGAAAGTAAAACAAATAACGCTACCCGTCGTAGAGACAAGTCTTTTCTTTCGCGAATCCTATAAAATTGTTTTATCTTGAGATGCATAGCCGACTTGGGCAAGAAAGGAAACGAGCCAAGAACGAAATAAAGAGCAAGATTCGCAATAAGGAAACACTCGAATGATCAAAGTACGTCTCGTGTTTTCCAATAATTCTTTATAAAATTAAAATCCACGGACCTTGGACGGGAAATGCAGGAAGAAGGGAGGTCCCTGCTTTGCAGGCCGGTTTGCTGGAACGAGCAGAGAATGCGGGACGAGGATAGAGAAGGGTGACCTGGCCGGAAAGGGTGGCAGATAGAGATCTCCACTTGCAGTTTTTGCCATGGCAGCCGAGTGGAATGAACTCGTTAGATATCAGACTCGATGTTGTCTTTGAAAACTTCGTTACGAGCCCTGTGTACCTTTCACTCTACTTCCACGCTCGGTCTTTTCGTCTAGACAACTTTGTTCGTGCCATAAAACTAGATACCGCCATCCGACGACGACGACGACGACGACGACGCCACCCACTGGAGCATGCACGTGTTTCGAATAGAGAATCCCAGATTTCGTGACTGTATGACACGTCTCGTCTAAATAGAGCCCGTACCTGATTTGAGGACCCACGCTTTTTATGTTCCGTGTCAATCTCGTAAGACATGTCTTGTTTCGCTCGTATAAGGTACGGTCTGCAATCTCACTTTTGGTCATTTTGCGTTTCTTGAATTATTACGGAGAGAAATGAAGTTTTAAATTTCAACAAATTTTTGTAGTTAGTAAATTGAATAATTTTGTGTGCAGTAGTGTCTGTTATTGATTGACAATAGGTAACTTATCGTTACTGGAAATAATTATGACATAACAAAATATGCAAAGTACACGAGAGTAATGTTCGAATCCTTTGAGATACGTGAATATACCATAGTACAATTATTAACCCTTTAACCTATGATTTTCTTTGTCAGTCATTTACTGTTTTAGTACTTATACGTGAGATAGTACAATTATTAACCCTTTAACCTATGATTTTCTTTGTCAGTCATTTACTGTTTTAGTACTGTATCAGATAACAAAAGCTAATCTGTCACAAATTTAGTAATCCTCTGCCTTAGAAATTCAAACGAAAGTTAGGATTACAATGAATTTTTCTCACATCTTGCCCAGAATTTCTGCCACGAGCCTGACACGTTGTTATAGGTCAAGGGGTTAAGATTGCAACGTTACCCTCGCGTATTTCGCATATCTTCACATGCCATAATTGCCTGAACCTTCCTAGTCTAATTATTACATTGAAAAGACTGTTATTCAAGAACAGTGCAGCAGTTGTTTCGTAATAAAGAAAATATTTTCAGTTCCACGTTCCCTCAGTTCCGCGGTTGCCAGAAAAATCTACCGACCGAAAATATCTTCCAACATTCGATTTCCTACGGCTTGGCAGGTTATTATTTTAACTATCGCGGTGGCTCCCTTTCGGGCACAGGCATTTCCAATCTTTGCCAATATTTTGCATAAAAGACGGGCCCGTGTAAAGGCGTGTAGGCAAGGCAAATAACCCGTCTCTCTCAGCGAGAATGTAGCCGCCGAAGCTCCGCTGGCGTCGTTCCGGTAAAATTGGGTTAGCGCTACGAGTCGCGCGCGTATGAAAAGCTCTGGAGTTTACTTTCCCAGAAGAGCAAATATCCCCTCCTCAACCCGCGGCCCGTCCCCCTTTGCAGTACGGTGGACAATGGAGAAGTAAAGAGAATTCGCATTTCCGACCGCCGTGCGTTACCTAACCTACCTAACGGAGGATACGAGAGGCCGCCTATACGGGTGGGCTCTCTCTCTCTCTTGCGCCACTTCCCTCTGATACAATTCAGTAATGCTCGGTGTTCCGTTTCGCGACGGGAATACGCGCGAAATAAGTAGCCGAACGAAACGTATAAAGGATCCAACGGGGCAGCAAAAGGGAATATTTTACACTCGCCACACAACGGACTACAGGTGAAAGGATCTTACATTTCGAGTAGTATCGTGAATTTTCAACCTTGAAAAAACACACCTGATGATAGAATATTGGAGTAGTACAGTGTGTGTGTGCGCGAATTCGTTGGTCTATCGAATGTTTGTTTGTTGTTGTTTTTTTAGAGGAAATATTTACCGGTATTTTGAATGGAAGTTAAAGAGAGAAAAAGCATAAAAGAGCCGAGTTAACCTGGAGATGGAATTTTCTCTTTCACGGGCAATTTTCCACGGGCCTTTGTAACAGCAGCAACAATACACGGGTTAAGAGAATTCAGGTTCCTGGCCGGTGCTCCGTTGGCTCGTTTACTCGCTAGAGGATTCTTGCTAGGCCAAGTGTCTAGGCAAGCGAGCGCGTTTCGTTCTAATGTAATTAATGTCTCCTTCTTTCAACACTCTCGGCCGTGCTTAGCGATGTAAACGAGAAGAGTGAGAAATAAAAGTGAAACGAGCCGCCGCACCGGTGACAGAATTTTGCCACGCTAATGGACGCGCCGCGGAGCTTGCGGCTGCAGGGCGGAGCGTCGAGTTTGTACAAGTAATTGCTCGATCGATTAATAATGCGTCCCTTGCCATTGAGAAAAGTACCTCGACACGGCCAACTTGTGAGATAGTTTCGATAATTTGACAAAAACTGATAATTAACATCACACCTGAATATGTTGGAAATTGGAACATTGTATTAAAAAAATATTACGCGAAACGAACATTCGTTGCGTAAAATACTCGGAGGAAAAAGAGTATAATTCAACTGTTGTCGTATAATTTCAAGTGTTCTTCGAATAAAATAGAATTGAAAGGTTCCCGATAAATGTCCCTTTAATTGTCCCATTGAAATCTTATCCTTGAAAGGAACGTGCAATTTATTTTACATTACAATGAACAAACGACAAATCTCCTCGAATTACCCTCTTTCGCTATCGATAAAGTTTCCATTCAGTCCTCGAATTATCAAGAAAACAGAGTATCGTAAAAGCCTCCTAACGCTATCCTTTCGAACATCAGCTCGGAGAATCGTCGTTTTTAAGAGATTTATCGTATGAAGGGTCTTCCATGCGCTCCCATGGACATATCCCACTCCACCAGGCTACCCTTTAAGACGCTTTTGACCCAGTTGATATATTTTCATTCGTGCGATACCGGGGATGCTAGATCGGAATGGATCCTGAAAGCGTATTACTTTAAACCATTGAAACGTGTCAGGCTATTGACTTATTTCGCTAATGTCGCCTCTGTCCGGCCGTTCCTTTTTCTTCCGCCTCTCGCCAGTATGTATTTCCGGCTTTCAGGAAACGAATACGAATGAAGCGAACCTAGCGGTGTCGACGCAGCTGCTGAATCCTATCTATTCCGGTTGATCTCTTGAAAGAGACTATGCTTAAGCGGATGAAGAGTGTAGAGGACGACGCTTCTCGAATATCGTCCATTCATACAAATTTGTTTTAATCACTGACACCACGAATCGTTCGAAATTTAACAGGAAAACGTGGATAGTATAGTGAATCGTGATAGTGATCAAATTTTCGGGTGAAATGCTAAGTTATTGCTATTCATCGGTGGATGAAGAGAGAGAGACTGTACGTTTGGAAATAAAATTGATATGAAATAGTTTGAAATTAAATACGAAGATCATTTTCATCGAACGAATTTGTATTGTGTATCAGTATCGATATGAAAATATCACTTTCACGTAATGATCAAGTTTGAGTGCAGTGGTTTTGGTAGATTACACTCTATGAGTGTTTGTTTCGAAATTATGAACAATTCTACATTTTCCGATCAATTTACCTCGCAGCTACGAAATCCAGTAGTCTATATCAATGTATAACGCTACAATATGGACCCAACGATACATGCTACTTAATTACTTTCTAATTAACTAAAAGAAATCACTCTAGGCCATTTTGAGATGTTTTAAAATATCCATGATAGCTTATTTCGAAATTACAAATAAGCTCAGAAATTCAGTAGTCTATATCAATGTATAACGCTAAATATATGGACCCAACGATACATGCTACTTAATTACTTTCTAATTAACTAAAAGAAATCACTCTAGGCCATTTTGAGATATTTTAAAATATCCATGATAGTTTATTTCGAAATTACAAATAAGCTAAGAAATCCAGTAGTCTATATCAATGTATAACGCTCCACATATGGACCCAACGATACATGCTACTTAATTACTTTCTAATTAACTAAAAGAAATCACTCTAGGCCATTTTGAGATATTTGAAAACATCCATGATAGTTTATTTCGAAATTACAAATAAGCTAAGAAAACCAGTAGTCTGTATCGGTATGTAACGCCACAGAATACAGTCCGAACGATGCGTATCACTTAATTATACTTTAATTAACTGGGAAAAAATCACTGCACACAATTTCAAAATATTTCAAAGAGAATAAAAATGTGTACATCTAACTCACGGAGTTTACCCCCATTCGAAATAATTCAACCGAACCATCTGCGCCGTGTATCCCGAATAAGTGGTTTGTTCGCTTAAGTCAGTCACGCTGGCTGCATTAAATCGTGCAAATGTTGTGTCACCGAAGATCGTGGGAAAGTTCGTAGCATTGCGGTTTCAAAAGCCCCGGCTCCACAACACTCTAAGCCATCCGAGACACGCCAGCTCGAGTAACGTAAATTCAGAAAGGAGCGTAATTCGACCAACGCGAATTTCCACCACGTTTCCACGCGATACG